ACTGTGTGCATACACATGATACATGTCTAAGTTAACCTTCAGAAGACAGTGCACATGTTCTCCCCTGGTGGCTTTTAATTTTTACAGCAAAGAGATTTTTCACTGAAGGTGCCTAGAGCTTTCTATGTGCATGGCACTAATGGCACTTTGACATTCTATATCATATTATATCCACTTTCTTCTCTTCACTTTTCTTCCTTTTATTTCTTTCTTCACATAATTGTGCAAAGAGGTTTCAATTCAACATGTCAATTTCTGAGCACGTCCCTTATATCATTCCCTCTGCCTCCCATCTACCTCAACCATATCCATCTATTCAAGCTACTTTCAGGGATCATTTCTGTAGTTTGCTATTGTCACTTTTTTTTTCTGGTCCTGATGCTTGAACTCGATCTGGTTGATGTCTCTGAACTCTTTTGTTCGAGGCTAGGGCCAATTTGGCCACATATCCACTTCCAGCTTTTTTTTTTTTGATAGTTAAGGGTCTTGTGGATTTTTTTTTTGGAGATAAGGTTCTAAAGACTTTTCTGGGCAGGCTGGCTTCAAAATGGAATCCTCAGCTCTCAGCCTCCTGAGTAGTTATGACTATAGGTGTGAGCCACCTGTGCCCAGCTTGTTTTTACTTTCTTAAAAGGCAAGGTCTCATTGTGCTCTCAAATAGACTGCAAATTCCACACCATCTTCCTGTCCCATCCTCCTGAGTATCTGGCACTAGAGTCTGTCTCCCATACCCAAATAGTTTCATTTAATAGCTGTGGAGAGTGAGGTGCAAAACAGTTGTATTAGTTATAGCAGCACTGGGATTTGAACTGAGGCTGTGTGAACAATAGACATCAATTATATAAAGATATCCCATAAAAGGTAAAGACTTCTTTGGCTAATAAAAGGGTGCCTTCTTTTTTGACAGATGCGAAGATTAAGGATTAAAATATAAAGAATTCTTTTGCAAAGTCTTCTCTCCCATGTACTGTTAGCTTTCCCAAAAGAGTCATCCAGGCTTACTTTTCCCTTTTATCTCCCATTTATTGAACCAACATTTATATACTGGTTCCTACTACTGGCCACTGGTCTAAGCAATTTTTCAAATTCCTTCAACCTTCTGGAGTAATGACAACCACTGTCTCCATATTTCCAGATAGTGAAACTAGATTATTTATTGGCTGAGCCATCTAGCAATCACTTATCTACTCTAACCTCCATTGTTCATTTGTAAATATAGTAAGCATCACAACAATATCTAAAAATTAAGCAGTGGGTAAATAAGAAATACACTTTAGCTCTCTGACCCATCTGAATCCTCAAAGATTTCACAATCCCAACAGCAAAAGGCTCAACTTAAATTATTACATTGAAGAGGTTCTGGAAAAGACAGTTGGAGATGATAGATAGATAGATAGATAGATATAAATTATCTACTCAGTGTGGTTTACACTTACAAAATTTAAAAATTTACAGCAAATTCCTTATTTAGAATCTACAGTTTTTAGTTTTTATTGATTGATTCTCTGTTTGTAAATAACCTTAATCTCAGAAGAACTATAATTGCTGGGTGGACAGTGTTTATATCCTGATCTTCTTAGCTATTCTTATCCTGTCTTCATGGCATTTGTAACATAAATTTCCTAACATATAAATATAGTTCAAAATTTTTGGCAAGCCTTTCAATAGTTTGATTATTTTAAAATATTTTTTAGAGTAAATGTTTTAGTTGATATCCCAAACCTATGTATTTATGAGATTCTATATGGCATTTTGATTCTCATATGCATTATGTAATAATTGTCTTTGTGATCACATAAGGCAGGAGTAAAGTTGTCAGGATAAGAGTTTTAGCAAGGCTTTTTTTTTTTTACAAAGAGATATGATGAGAAAATCCTATTCAAGGAACATACTCCCTTAGTGCTTTTAAAAGATAAAATAGAAAACTATGCAGGGTGAAGGGTTGTTCTTTAAACTCACATCCATACTGAATGACGTACACACTGAGGAATGGCATTCTAGTCATGCAATAGCCCAAGAACTGAAGAGGCTCTTTGTTTCTTAAAAGAGTTGGTAGACAAAAGACAACCCGTGCTTCTTCCAACTTTGTAAGATTTCTATTGCAACTTTAGCATGTCTCAAATTCTGTCTCATGCCATCTAGCCAGAAAGATTTAAACCTTAAAACAAAAGCAACAAATTTAATCTCCACATCAACTTTCTCCAAGATCATACTGACTTGAAAAAAAAATAGATCTTATACATACTTGGTGATAGAATTCGCATCATTAATGAGAACTATACTGTCTAATATAGTAAATACCAGGTGGTCCCCTTTCTCCACCTCCTGCTCTTCTTTTTGGGTTTCTTGAGATAGGATCTTTCTACATCCCTGTAGAGCCCCACACAGGCCTTGAACACATGATCCTCCTGCCCTAGCCTCCCAAATGCTCAGATTATAGGCATGTACCACTGCACATGGAGTGCATGTGGCTTCTTAAATGTCAAAGACATAAATTGAAATCAAGTAGAATTTTTCTCCTTCAATCAAATTGGCTGTGCACAGAAGCCAGGAGCCTTGGTTACTGGGCAGCAAGTTATACAAGACAAGTGCATCACACACAGTTGGATGGAGCAGAGCCAAAGCTTGTCTAAAGTCTCATCAACACTAGCATAGGCTGTAGTAGCATGGCTTATAGCATTAAATGCAAGGATCAGGACTGTAATAGGCAAAATAGATATGCACCTCCACAGTGTGGTTGGAGAGATAATTGGTAGGCTCACCATCCAGTGGAAAGGACTCAAATTCTGGAGCTATATGGAAAATTGAATTTGTCTCCTGTCCACCTTGAAAAGAGTTCCAAGCTCCAAGGGCAACATATTGAGGTTAAAAAACACCAAGATCAGTTAGTTTGTCAAAGGGCTGGGGAAGGAAGAGATAGAGAAGTTCAATGGCAGAAGCTCCTAATAGATAGAGAAAGGAAGGCACGACTGAGAACGACTGACTCTAGAAAGTGGCAGGCTTCTGGTTGTAGATAAGTCCAGTTCCGAGTATGCCCTGGGAGGATGGAGGAGTGCCATGGGCAGTAAGTTGGAAAATATCCCTCATCCACAGTTACTGAAGCTGCACACACAGATCTCAAACCCAGACTGGTCCCCCGAGCACAGAGGAGCACTGTTGAGGGTAAAATATGACTAGAAAAGAGGTAAAATTCATGATGAAAAAGGCTTTTGAGACTTAAATTGTATAAGCTGAGAATGTCTTATTTTTCCTCTGGCCAGATCCTATTCCCACCTCAAGGACAGAGCACGGAAGGCAAGACTTACACAACTATACGGAATGTCACACACACTGGCTACATTCTTCCTTGGCTTCACACGGGGCAGTATCAATGGGCTGAAGCACAACCGGGCGCCTCATTGGGTTCTGACTCTGCAGTCTTAATCCCAAAGAAGCCCAGGCATGTATTTTGTCAAGGTGATGATACTGAGGTAGAACATTTTTCAGATTCATACATTTAGCTTATTTGCTTTAAAATGTCCAGTTTCCAGTTTATAAAGCCATAGTTAATATTCATAGGCTACATTTACACGGACAGAATATAACCTGACAAAGCAGGGCAAGTTGGGGCTCTCCTCTATGAACATCTTGCAAATGAGTTCTCCTCCCTGGGCCAGTCAGCTGTAGATTTCAGTATTCTATGCACCACGTGGCATTCATTCTCCAAAGCAACTACTCTGGGGTTTCTTTCAACTCATAATCAACTCTATCCCCTTATGCTCATGATTGCCTGAAAAGCCTTCCTGAAAAGTCAGTCAATGTGGCGATACAGCTGCAAATGGTTTCAATAAGTAGAAATATAGATGTACTGAGAGGGAGCTCATCAATTTCTTCATTGTGAAGATCACTACATTGTTTGGTGGCCTATGAAAACAAGACAGTTGGCTGGACTTTATGCAACTGAACAGCAAAAAGCAAAAGCACACACTGACCTGATCAGAAGCTCTAACCTTGGCCTTAAGTGACTGACACTATATTTTCTTTCCTTAGAGTACAGAAAAAAATTATTGTTTGTAGATGATATTAAAACCAGAAGCAAAGTTCTTGCAACAAGCCATCGTTTCTCAATTATGCACTGCTTGTTGAAAATATAGACCCTTGAACTCTTTTGGTTAGGGGTAGGCACTTGGCTTTTTTTGCTAGTTTTCTGGCTGATAAACATCCCACTAGATTTGAGAAATTCTGACTACTAATTCACAGGGACAAAATGTTCCATATACTAAACACCTTCATGGAGATGGATTTTGACCGAAGAAATTATATATCCAAAATAGAAATGAAAACTCTTTTTTGTATGTGTGTGTGTTGAATTTGAGAGTAAAGAACAGGATTAAGGCTGACAGCAGTTCCTCTTCAGAAGACATGGGTATCTTACTTCTGGAGAGAAATACAACACAACAAAGGAGGGGGCATCGTTTATGATTGCTTTTTATCTGAAAACTGATAAGCCACTTTGAATGACAGCACAGTCAAACAGTATATAATATGTTGGGTTTTAAGTACAAGTGAGAGCACATGTAATAATTGATTTAGATTTGACTTATATATGAAATGTAAAATTGCTTTTTTAGTGTATTAATAATAATAATAATTGTTATTATTATTATTATTTTGTGTGCCAGTATTGAGCCTTCAACTCAGGGCCTGGAGACTTGTCATTTAGTGTTTTATTCAAGGCTGACACTGAACCACTTGAGCTCCACTTCTGGCCTTCTGGCTTTTTGCTAGTTAAATAGACATAAAAGTCACATGGACTTTCCTGCCCCAGCTTGCTTTGAACCATGATCGTCAGATTTCAGCTTCCTAAGTAGCTAGGATTACTGGAATGAGCCACGGGTGTGAGAATATTTTCTATGGAAAAATGCCCTCTTATTTTTGCACAATTTATATGTATTGTATGAAACTGTCCCTTGGTCTTATTGTCTGTCACTTCCTGACACAAGCAGATAGCAGATTCTTACCACAGAGATGGAGTTGGAGAGGAGCGTCCCATCCTGGCTCAGCATGTTGGACACGGTGATCTCAGGGAGGTCCATATTCTGTGCATGGAAGGGGAGCAGGCCATTGTGGTTCATTGGGTGACACAGAGAATGGTAACCTGACTCGACTTCATTCAGGTGTACCAGTGAGTGGTCTGGGAGGGAGGGAGGAGTGATGGGTGGAATGTTAAAGTCTTCACTTTCCAGACTTGGACCAGGGTAGGACTGAAAAGACAAGAGGGACATTGTTGCCAGTGAGCATCTCTTTGTTCATGAACGATTGCACATGAGCCTGTGGATATGATTACAAGCAGCATTATGGATTTGGCCAAGACATTTCAAATGTTCAGATTACCCTGCTACGATTTCACTGTTATGCAGGGAAGAAAATTGCTTCAAAGGCATATCCACTTCTGGTATAAAGACCACTTCCATTAGGTGGTTTTATTTTTCCAGGAAGTTGAATTCAAACAGATTTCAAAGGTCCCATTAAAATTTTCCAGAGTTTTAATCTAGCTGAATACCTTTTTCATAAGAATTGTAGGGAAGGAAGGCAATTTATAAAATTAATATTTGATCAAACATGTTTCATAGACTCCCTACTGCTTAGATTATGGGATGTAATAAAAATGAGTTCCAGAAGTCTGTAGCAATTGCTTTTGGGTTTTTCAAAGCTACCTGCTCAGAGTTGACAAAAGAAAAGTTATTAGAAAAGAAGTAATCTAAGCACATTGCCAAAGTAAGAGTATGTTGAAAGTTTGATGTATTTTTAAGTACTATCAAAATGAATTTTATTACAAAGATTGTTGTCATTTAAATAAAAGAATGCTTTCATTATTTCAATTAACATGTGTTTGATTTTTGCCTAAAAGCTGATAAATAATATTATATCCATTTAAGTTCACTGTGAAAGACAAACTAAAATACTAATATTATTATGATACTAATTCTGAAATAAAAGTCAGTCTGTAAAACAAATATCACTAATACACCTGGGGCGTTTCTTTTACAAACTAACTTTTGATAAAATGGAAAAGGAGGGAGGGGTGAAGGAAGGAAAAGGTTATCTGGAAACTCTCCCTTTTAGAAGTGGAATGTGGTATAAGTGGATATAAACAGAAAGAAAGAACAGAATAAAGAAACATTGTTAGCAATTCATATCAATACACACAATATGCAGCCATCCTTTGTAGAACAGGTGTTATAATATGAAAAGAAACATTTGGTCTAGATAATTCTTACAAGCCTATATCTTTCAAATTAAGAGAGCTTTCACAGTGAAGCTGAAGCCTGTCTTTCAAATTAAGAGGGCCTTCATAGAGTTCACATGCACGGGTAACAAGGATCTCTTGTCTAACAGCACAGCCCCTGCTGTACTGTGGCAAGATCTGAAATGAACAGGCAAAGGGTAAGAGCCAAAGAAAGTAATGTAAGGGGTGTTTAGTCAATAAGCTCTATGCTTCCTGGTCCAAGAGTCCAGGCTTATTTTTTCCAGATGCCTTCTATTTTTTTAATGGAAAAGAAAATCTTCAAGTTGCACTTGCTAAATGTTGCACAAGTTTTGATGTATTTGTTTAGGTGCTGTCAGAAGAGGAGGTAAAATGAAGAGCTGCTTTAACATCTGGAATTGAGATGGAGAGGCATGTGTGGGTGAGGGTCTGGAAGTGTATGAAGGGAAGATTTCATTCATCCCTGCCAATGATTTTTCTTAAATAGCTAGCTAACATTCTGTTTAAAAAAGAAAGTCACTAGCTCTAAAAGTTCAATCATCTGTTACCAATGTCTTCTGTTAACAATATATTTCTGATCTGAAAAATATGTTAGTGTTCTGTATCCAAGTTACAGTTTGATCAAATTCTCTGATATATTTTAGATCCAAGTGTATAGCTCTAAATAGGCAATTCCATCTTCAAATATTCATAGAAGTATGGGAGATAGAAGGGAAGGAACATTTATTAATGCTTGCTTCATATAAAGAAAGCATTTCATTTCTTCCCTCCCTCCTTCCATCCCTTCCTTTCTTCCTTCCTTCCACCACCCTCCTCCCTCCCTTCCTCCATCCCTTCCTCCTTAACTCCTTCCCTCCATTCCTTTCTTTCTTGTGCCAGAATTGGCACTTAAACTCATGACCTCTTGCTCTTGTTTGGTTTTTAAATTCAAGGCTGGTGCTTTACCACTTGTATCATACCTCTTCTTTCAACTTTTGCTAATTAATTAAAGACATGGACTTTTCTGCCTGGTCTGACTTCAAATCCCAATATTCAGATCTCAACCTCCTAAGTAGCTAAGATCACAGATATGAGCCATCAATACCTGGTTGTTTTCTTCATGTAAACATTACAATAATCCTTTGTGTGTCTATTATTACTCCTCATTTTCCCAAAAGGGGAAACCAAGGCTCAGAAGTTTAACAATGTGTCTAATTTCACATGGCTGGTAAATCATTTAACATAGATGGGGATGGATATTTGAAGAAAGGGAGCATTCTTGTTGTAGTGATACTTACATAAGTGATTCAGGTCTTACTATTTTGTTACTTTGAATGACACAAAATTGTCATTACCCAACTGTTTTTGTTAAACTAAATTTCATAATTTAAGAATTAATTTTAGCATTAGTAACAGGCTTTTCTTTGATCCAAATTTCACCTAAAGCCCACCCATTAAAACTAAATATTTACATGAGCACAGGAATTCATAATTTGTCTCTTTGTAAATATCGCAAATAAAGAATCTGTGGTGCACATGTTCCCGCCCCTCCCAACCCCCCCCTCGCCCCCAGCAGTACTAGGAATTAAACTCAGTACATCAAACTCTCACTTTGCTTTTTCATTCAAGGCTGGTACATCACCGCTTGAATCACATCTCCACTTCTCCACTCCTGGCTTTCTGCTGATTAATGGGAGATTAGAGTCTCATGAATTTTGCTTCCCTGGCTGGCTTTGAACTGTGATCTTCAGTTCTCAGTCTCCTGAGAAGCTAGGATTACAGGCCTGAGAAACCAGCACTCAGCCTGGTATGTCTCTTTTAAGGAGTTAATCACGGCCAATTTAAATTTCCCTGAATAAGGCACCATTAATACAAAGTTACAGGAAAACATGTTTTTAATTTTAGAAAAGCCATTACACCTCTGCAAATACTAAGGGATATTCTATCCAGGGTATGCTAAGGCTTTATATTCTAAAGTTTCTTCAGTTGTTAAATCTTAATTTGTGGTGTTTTAAGGGAAGGTTTAATTGGTATCACTTTACATTTGGTGATAACAATTGTACTGCAATTTAGCTAAGCTACATGGTTTATTTTCATGTAATTACACATTAAGGTTATTTAATACATGCAATTATATACCAAAACCACAGATTCCACAACTTAACTGGTAATGAGTAGTTATGTGGGTCAGGAATTTTAACAACCTAAGGTTACCTAGCAATTTCTATGCTTTGCATTATAAAGCATGATATGGCTATCTGCCTTGAGACTATTAAAGTGTAACTAATGCCATATAAAAGTATTGTGGTAATTGTTTAAATGTCAAAATGTCCCAGAACTTTAAAAATTGCTCAATGTCAGACTAATGACTAATTTTTAAAATGTAAAATTGAATTGACTAATTTCCCAATATCAATTCCTATGACATAAGAACCTCACTTAGATTTTAAAAAAATCTAATAGGAATCTGTTTAACTTAACAGTAGTGAAGTTTTAGAGCTGATTTGTAGCTTGGGAAGGGAATGTAATGTAATAGGATATGACTCAATATTTTATCTTATTCCTCATGAGGCTGGTTACAATTTGTGTTAGATGTTTGCTGAATGAATAAACAAAAGAATCACTGAATGCCTGCCTGCATGGATGAATGCTACAGCAAGTCTTTAAAAGCATGAAGTTTGTGAATATACTACTGTTATTCCACAGGGTTGAATAATTATCTTGTACTCCCAGGACTGTCCTGGCCAGTTGACAGCACAGTATGCAATATTCAACTCACAGTGTATAAGTAGTCCAAAAATATCCTGTTGGCACAGTTAGAGTTTGGGCAACCTAAGGAAAGCTGGATGGAATGGACTAGATTTTGTATCCCTTGGGTTGCTGCTCTGGATCCTGAAAGTGGGATGCACTGATTATCCCACAGTGACACACAGATTCCAGAGGATTCTGAAAGTAGAGCTCGGGATGCTCTTGGCTCTTAGTGCTGCTGAATTGTGATGCCCTCTGCAGGCAGGCAGCAAGCCACCTCAAGGGACTGCTGAGGAGACTGAAACAGTGGCAAAGTCCCAGTTAGATGAAGGAACTCAGGAAGGTACTGTGGTGACAGAGGGATCTGAGGCTGGTGCAGAGGAGGCTCCATGAGGCCAGCGGGTGACATGAAGGATCTGCCTTGCTTGCCACTGTTTCAGGACTTTTTCTGATTCCCACAAGTTTCAGTGTGGCCTTGAGTTTAAACCATCAGTCATCCTCTAAATCTGTCAGAAACCAAGATTATTTGGTACTTCCAAAAGGCTTTCTATATCCTTATGAAACCTCAGTACTATCTGTGTGTGTGTGTGTGTGTGTGTGTGAGAGAGAGAGAGAGAGAGAGAGACAGAGACAGAGACAGAGATAGAGAGAGAAGGAGAGAGAGAAAAAGAATGAATATATGAATATCTGAGTTACAAACCATAAAGAAATTAATGCAATGTTCTAGGAGGCTTTATGGACAGAGATCAAGTGTAAAATGATGAGGCAGGGCAGGTATGAGCCCTCAAATCTGGCATTGTCCTCCTGATAACTGCCTACAGTTTTTCTTACCCATCCTGTTCTAAAAGCCAGAATTAACCACAGCCTGAATTGGGCCATTTCTCTCTTCCCCATCCATTAATGGAGATCAATAATAACCATCTACACAAAAGAGGAGGGATTATTGAAGGACAGTTGGATAAAATCCAGGTCAATATTTCCCATTTTACCTTGGATCAAGCTGCAAACATGTAAGTATACAACTGACTTGTTCTGAACTATGCCAGCATACACAATGCAAGTGATGAAAAGAACTTAAAATAACATGATTGCTACTTAACTGATTCTCCATCATTTCTAGCCACTCATTAGTTACACACAGAAGGAAGTTCCTTCATGGTGGTGGTGCTGAGATGCATATTTGGAACCCTGAATCCAAACACAGAGGCATCTGCTCACTTTGCCTGAAGGAGGAGCATCCCAGGCACCAAAATGTGGGGTATACTAGCA